TTAAAGACAGCTATCAAGAATTTCAGTAAGCAGTCTGGAAATCTGAAGCAGAGGCTAAATGCTGCTAGAGATAATCTTCACAAAGCTCAAACTGATCTTATGAATAATAGGCAGGATAGCAATGCTATTGAGCATATAAATTTTCTCATTGAAGAAGTCATAAAGTTACATGATCATGAGGAGAATAAAATTATGCAGAGGATTAAGATTGATTGGATCAGACAAGGTGATGGAAATAATAAGTTTTTCTTTTCTTATTTGAAAGCTAGGCAAAACAAAAATTATATTAAATTCCTGCAAAAAGACGATGGGGGAGGTCATAGCTGATCGCAACAACATTGAAAAAGAGATTATGGACTTTTATCATAGCCTGATGGGAGAGAATGTTAAAAGAACAAAAGACATTGATGTGGAGGCTATGAGGGAGGGTAACCAAATCCATGTTAAGCAAAAGGATATCCTTGTGAGAAAGGTGTCTAATAAGGAGATTGAAGAAGCCCTTAAATATATAGGTGACAACAAATCCCCTGGTATAGATGGCTTCAGTGCAAATATTTTTAAGAATTGCTGGAAAATTATGAAGTTGGATGTCATTGCTGTTGTTAATGAGTTTTTCAGGACCGGTTTGATCCATAAAGGTTTCAACAGAATAATGGTAACCCTTATTCCTAAAGGTGAGAATGCTAAAAGTATTAAAGATTTTAGGCCTATTTCTGGGTGCACTGTCTTTCTCAAAATTATTTCAAAAGTGCTCACAACTAGAATGAGGAATATCGTGCAGGAAATTATCTACAAGAATCAAGTTGCTTTCGTTGCTGGGCAATATATCCATAATCATATTCATTTAGCTTATGAGCTTGTCAAGGGATATGATAGAAAGAATGGCACTCCAAGATGTATGTTTCAAATAGATCTACAGAAAGCCTACGATATGGTCCACTGGGGGGCTTTGGAGAGTATTATGAAGGAGATGGGATTTCCTAACAGATTTGTGTGTTGGGTGATGAATCTGGTAACTTCTGTCTCCTACACTTTCAATATTAATGGTAGCTTCTTTGATATCCTGCATGCCAAGAGAGGGATAAGACATGGTGGTATTATATCCCCTCTTCTCTTTGTGATCATGATTGATTATCTCAACAGATGCTTGGTGAAGATGCAAAAAGATCCTAATTTCAATCATCACGCAAAGTGTGAGAATCTTACTCTGACTAATCTTGCCTTTGCTGATGATATTCTCCTTTTCAATAGGGGAGACCAGGTTTCTATTGATATCTTGATGACAGCTTTCAAGAATTTTTCTAACTCTACAGGTCTCATCTTTAATACTAGGAAATGCAAAGTTTTCTTTGGGTGTGTTGATAAGAGACTAGGACCAGTATAAAAGTCTCTACTGGTTTTGATGAAGGGCACTTCCCTGTCAGGTATTTGGGCGTCCCTCTTAGCAGCAAAAAGCTCAGCTTACTGCACTATCTCCCTCTGATTGATAAGATAATAGGTAGAATATGCCATTAGTCTATAAATCTTCTTAGCTATGCTGGTAGAGTTCAATTAATTAACAATATCATTTTCTATGTAACGCAATTTTGAATGCTGAATTTCCCTCTTCCTAAGGTTGTGATCAAAAGAATCGATGCAGTTTGTAGATCTTTTATTTGGACAGCTAAAGCTGATGTGAGAAAAAAGAGCCATGTGGCTTGGAGTAAAGCGTGCAGTCCTAGTAAGAAAGGGGGCCTAGGGCTGAAAAATATGACAGTTTAGAATCAAGTAACTTTGTTAAATGCCTCTGGAACATTTGCAATAAAAGCGATGATTTGTGGGTAAAGTGGATTCATAAGATTTATCTGAAAGGAATTGATATAATGGAAGCTGAAGCTGGGCATAATTGGACTTGGGTCATGAAGAAAATTGTGAATCACAAGCATTTGGTTAACACAATTCAACATCTCTGGAATCAAATGCTTATAAATAAGAAATTTTCTATGAAATATGTATATAAGTTACTGATTGATGACTCTAGCAGGATGCATTAAAGCAGTTTACTAATGCATAATATGGATAGACCAAAGTCAAAGATTACATTGTGGCTCTTGTGTCATGGCAGCCTTCCAACAAAAGACAGACTCACGATATTTGGTATAATTCAAGAGAGTATCTGCAGTATGTGTGGCTCGAAAGAAGAAAGTGCTTACCATATCTTCTTCGCTTGTGGTAAAACCCTTGTCACTTGGAAGGCTATTTTAAATTGGCTGGGTATCACTCATAATCCGGGGCCATGGAATATTGAGATAAATTGGATAATAGCACATACTAAAGGTAAGGGCTGGAGAGCACCGGTTCTGAAGATTGCTTTCACTGAAACCATTCATGAGATATGGTTATACATGAATTCTATTATCTTTGATAGTAATACTAATAGGAAAAATATAGTGGAGAAAATTATTGATTGTATAGTGTATAGAAGATGGAGAAATAGGAAGCTTAGGTTGCATCTTGCTAGTCTTTTGATATAGTTAGTTTGTCGCTTGTGTTGGCTAAATCCTTTTGGATTGACTCAGTTGTATTGTTTTTGAATTAATATATTTATTTTGGTTTAAAAAAATAATAATAAACCGATTGAAAATATATGAAGACGATCAATTATTTATTATTTGAAATAAATTATTATATATTTAAATTAACTTAGAAACGAACTTTATAAAACTCAAAATATCAACGTAACCCAAAAGAATGTTATAAAACTCTAAATTTAAAAATAATCTTAATTGTAATAGCAAGATAAACAAATTTAGAATATAACACTTAAAATCTATTATTTTATAATGTTTTTATAATATTAATGTATTAATAAAAAACATTATACTTTTTAAATATTCATAACTCAATCTAAATTTAAATTATATGAAATTGAATTAAATCATATTATTTTTTTAATTAATCATTTAAAACTGAATCGAAGCATGGATAACTTTCAAATCATAATCATATGAATATTTTCTTTAAAACCAACACAAATTACACCATAAACATCCTTAATTAGTTAGATTAGATGTGTAATTAAAATGATTCAAAGTTTAAAAGTTCTAAATTTAAGCAACTAAGTCTTAATTCGTGTAACAATTGATTTGAAGTTTAAAATGTCTAAATTCAAGTAATTAATTCTTTTTCACCTAGATGCGTGGATAGTAAATAATTATTTCTGCAAAAGCATGACAATTAATTATTCCTATTGATGGTATGGATTTTAAGTGATATACTCTATATCTATTTTCCCCCCTAAAATTTCCCTCATTTAATAAATAAAAGTGATAATCTTTGAATTACCTTTTTTATATATTATTAAATATTAGAATCATTAAATATTAGAATTACCTTTTAAATAGAAAATTAATAAAAAATACTTGTAATATGTTAGAATTCAGTCAAACCATACTCCTCACACCATTAATCCAAAGCTAACTGCTCAGATATTCTCGCCATCATAAATCCTTAAATAAGATATTATTTTCAACAACAAAAAAAAAATAGAACATTTCCTTCAAAAACTTAAAATAAAAAAAATAAAAAATAAATCATATTGAAAACTTTTAATTTATAATAGAAATAAAAAATTATTGAAAAAAAAAAAAAAAAAAAAATAGAAGACGGAAGACACAAGAAATAGAATGTTTATAAGATGGAACAGTTAATTCCCACCCTAACAAGCTATTCTTAGCCAGTTGTCAGCTAAGAAATAAAAAACTGAGCTTTCTTATTTTAAGCTTTTAATAATAATAATAAAAAATAAAACCATAATTAAAATTTAAATTTAAAATGAAAAGAAAACACACAATAACCATGATTATCGAATAATATAACAAACAAACAAATAGGAATAAAAATAACAAAATTTCTGCAACAACCGCAAAATCAAAGAGAGAGTGAAAATAATCAACAGAGACGAAAAGATCGTCTTCTCAATCGGAATAAGGTCACTCAATTTTCTTCATCTACTATTTCACTTTCTCTCTTTCATTTTTTCATTTTTATTGTTAATCATTTTCATTATTTTTTGTTAATCAGCTTTTTATTTTCAATTTTCAACTTCAGCGTCGTAATTGTTTGCTCTGTGTTTTTTTTTCTGAGAAAAATGGTGGAAACTGATTATTAATTCTGCTTTCAGGTTTTGTTATTATCTGTTTTTTTTTATAGTATTTATGAGTTTTTTTTTTTGTTATAGAAATTTTTTCTGAGAAAAAGTAGAAAATAATTAAAAAAAAAGAACATTTCAAGTTAGGGAAATAACTAGGGTAAATAACCGTGGATCGGATTCAGCATTGAAATTAGATGAAATTTGTTTAATCACATTTGTTTTTCTGATCAATAGTTGTTTTTTCATCACTGATTGCTTTTTATGTTACATTTTTAATTTCAATTGTGCTGTTTTTTAATTTTTTGCTTATTTTGAACATGAATTGTTTTTTTTTTCATAATCGAAATTCGCGAGTTTATTTTCTGGTCTTACAAGTCAAGATCTAAATCTTTTTACAGTAAGATTTTCGGAATAATGTTTTTTTTTTTTTTTTAATTTCTGTTACCTGATACTTAATTTTTAGTTAGTTTATGTGTCTGTTGTGTTTATTGATTGCTATGATCATGGAATCAATAGCTTCTAAATGTTGATATTGATTGCTATGATTATTAACTTTATTTGACGTAAGAGTTCTGGAATAATGTTTTTCGAATTATCATTTCCTGTTATTTGGCTTCTAGTTAGTTTATTATGTGTGTATTGTGTTTATTGATTGCGATGATCATCAAATCAATAACTTGTAAATGTTGATAGTGATTATTACTTATTAGTGGTTAGATTTTGAATCATTTTCCTTTTTTATTCCTGAATTCTAAATAGCTGACAACTGTTGTTGTAAAAATCAGATATTTGTTTTTTTTCTTGTTTAGATTTTGTTTTTGAATAGATGCTGACTGGGTTGAATTTTTGCAGAAATATATTGGCGATCATGAGATTCAAGAAAGGGACTAAGGTGGAAGTGTTGAGCAAAGATGAGGTGCCCTCTGGCTCCTGGCTATGTGCAGAGATTATTCGTGGTAAGGGCCACCATTACACTGTTAAGTATGAGGGATTTCAAGGTGATACTGGTGAGGCAATCGTGGGGAGAGTTTCAAGGAAATGTGTAAGACCATGTCCGCCTGCACTTGAACTCGCGGAGAACTGGACTCCAGGTGAAATTGTAGAAGTGTATCAGAATTTTTCATGGAAGATGGCTACTGTTTTGAAGGTTTTGGGGAAAAAGTGCATTTCTGTTAGGCTAGTTGGATCTTCTTTGGAATTCCAAGTTAGCAAATTTGACATCAGGGTGAGACAGTCCTGGCAAGATGACAAGTGGTTTGTGGTTGGAAAGGTACCTTAATTTTCCCACCTTATTTTTTTTGGTTCTTTCATATTCTCTAGCAATTGCTAATTGTCCTTGCCAGTACAAATGTGGTTGTAGATCATATGCTGACTTTGCTTTTTTGTTAAGCTTTTGAAATTTCATTGATTCAATGCATTCTGTTTACGAAAACTAACTAATAGAAATTTAAAAACTTTGGATTTTCTTAGGTTTTTCGGTCATGTCCTTGCCAGTTCTCCTTTTTTGTTTTTGCTTTAACTTTCAAGAGTTCTCCCATGTAAATGTTTCTGGTTTATACCATGCTATTTTATGAGCTAATATTTATTCCTCTTTCTCCCATCTTCAGGGCTCTGCTAGCTGTGATAATGGAAAGCGTTTTAGTGCGCAACTTCAGAAGATAGATACAAAGACAAAACTGTCAGCTTCCATTTACTATCAACCTGAAAAGAAAGAACTGAATAATCTGGAATCCCGCCCTGTTTCTTTTAAATCATTGAAACGAGGACGCCATTCACAAGTTGAGGCATATGCTGAACCTCTTCCTAAATTAAGAGCAATTGAGAATGAAGGAAGATGTTACAGAGCAAGAGTTAGAAACCTATCCACACCACTTAATCATGTACAAAATGTCAGTTTTCCAAGAGACGTGCCAGCTGAAGAATGTATACACGCTTCTGTAAACAACAGAAAAACTGGGATTGTTGATATGGACATAGAGAGGAGGAAACAAAATGCTGCTGTGGGTTGTTCATTTGGACAGAACTTCAAATTAAACTGTGCTGATAGTGTTATATGCTCTGTTGGTAGCTGTAGTATCACCAGTGGGAATTCCTATAAATTGCAATTTCCTGTATCTGCAGGTCCATTTGAAGATCTAGACAGTCCATACAGTGATGCTGAATCTACCTGCAAGAGGGGATATCTTGAAAGGACTTATTCCCCTCCCACACGAAGAGAATTGGCTACAAAAATTCATAGGTTAGAGTTGCATGCCTATCGTTGTACAATTGAAGCATTGTATGCATCAGGACCTTTAAGTTGGGAACAAGAAGCATTAATGACAAACCTCCGTCTTTCACTCAACATATCAAACGATGAACACTTAATGGAGCTAAGAAACTTGATTTCTTCTGAAAATAGTATTCCTTTCAGATGACATGAATTTTTCTTTCTTCAACTTAATATACCTTCTCCTCAGGGATAGAGTTCCATATTAGTTTTTTGCTAGCTTCATTCAACTGTAAGAAGAAAAATGAATTATTTCTTTCTTTCATTTATGTTTTATGATTTAGTAATGTAGATGTTAAACTCCATGAATAAATGATCATTTCTGATCTTTTTTTAATTTGTTCATTTATCCACTTGATTCCTGTTGGGCACCAGGTCATTTCTGGAACCTTAAGAACATTATAGATTCTGTAGAGATGTGGTAGATATGATCTGGCTACTGATATTTGAAATTGAAATTAAATGGTATACTTAATTGTTGATTTATCATTTGAGGGTCAATGATTAATATGCTTAAAGGGACTTGTTTGTGTGTGAAAATTTTATATTTCATGCTAAGTCAAGTTTAGAGAATGTTTTGCATTCATTTCAGAGCCATGTAATTTGAAAGAAGCTTTTGTTTGTTTTCTAAATTTGTTGAATACAAGCAACACCATACGAGAGACTTGCCTTGTGTAATACTTGTCTGTTACTCCATAATTTGAAAATATAAACAATGTCATTTGAAGATACTAGTAATGCTTCTCCTGCATTTTCCAGGGACAAGTTTGAGGCACATAGATGTTGCTTCGAGATGTCTGCACATGATATTGGTGCTTGCCACCTTTCTCTTGATCTAGACAAGGGATGCCATGTACATTATGGCTCTTGATATGCCAACAATTCGATAGGATTGTGGAGTTCTCACATTCTTCCGTTTCAGGCCTCTTGAGAGCCTCAGATTCCTTTTCTGTGGAAGGATGCATGCTCAGAATCTTGTGGCTACCATGGGGTGACCTTTTATGTGATTATATAATTTGTGTTATCAATTGTTGATGCATGTCTTACTATCATTGTTTCTGATAAAATAATCTCTGATATTTCCTATGCACACACTCACACTGAATGTTTACGCGTTGAAGCCTAGTAAATGGTTAAAATGTTATCAGTAGACAACTTTGGAATGATAATTTTACTGCTACTAGGGTAGAACAACCTTGCAATGAGTATTTTATGTACTGCTGAACAAATGATGTCACAAAAACAAATAGAGTAACATAAATACAGTTGTCTCAATCTCAAAGCGGATTAAGAAGCAACACTTTTTTGAAATTATTAACAACTTAATGTCATTTTTGAAACTTGTGAAATTCGATTATCCTTTCTGCCATGTTTCATTGAACAATGCTGTTCTAGATTATTTGCATTTTTTACTCTACATGTAATGTAAACATGTGTTTTCCCTCTGTGGTTGTAAGCTTACACATGAAAGTTGGCACTGGTTTGCTGTTAGTGCGCCACTGCTCCGCAATGATCGGCTAGCATAAGGTCCAAATGGCTCGTGGAAGAACATGGTCACATTCAAGCCAGAACGACCCAAGGTATGGTTATGTAGGAATAACCATAAGTAATGGTTCGAAGAATCATGTGTTTTAAGCATATAGTATTCCCCAATTTTGAGCATCATGCATATTTAACTGCAGAGATTGTACTCTTTATTGGCATATCAACTGTAGATGCTAGTTTTTCATAATGACAATATTCATAGTCATGTATATTTGATGGTCATTTTTTCAATTGTTTTCAATCGCACATGTTCATGTACCTCAAAAAATGTGTGAATATTATTCTCAAACAAATTATCAAAAAATGTGTGAATATTATTCTCAAACAAATTAGAAAGACATAAAACTAAGGCAAATGCAATAGTAGTATGTTACTTAAAAAAATAAAATTGTAAATTGAATAAACTTTAAGATCAATTTGTTTTAACCAAAGTAAAGCAAAACTAATTTAAGTTGTCTTATCCCACCCAATCCACATGTTATGATTAGTTAGAGACAAATATAATGCACACTTGTTAACTTTTTATTTTAGTTTTATAATCACACACTTTCTTAAGTTTAATTTCCAATTATTATCTTTTTATTTTAGTTTTTATAATCACACACTTTCTTCAGTTTAATTTCTAATTATTATTATTATTATTATTATTATTATTATTATTATTATTATTATTATTATTATTATTATTATTATTATTATTATTATTATTATTATTATTATTATTGTTATTATTATTATTATTGTTGTTGTTATTGTTATTATTATTATTATTATTATTATTATTATTATTATTATTATTATTATTATTTATTATTATTATTATTATTATTGTTATTGTTATTGTTATTGTTATTGTTGTTATTATTATTATTATTGTTATTGTTGTTATTATTATTGTTGTTGTTGTTATTATTATTATTATTATTATTATTATTGTTGTTGTTGTTACTATTATTGTTGTTGTTCTTATTATTATTGTTATTGTTGTTATTATTATTATTATTATTATTATTGTTGTTGTTGTTCTTATTATTATTGTTATTGTTGTTATTATTGTTATTGTTGTTATTATTGTTGTTATTATTATTATTATTATTATTATTATTATTATTATTATTATTATTATTATTATTATTATTATTATTATTATTATTGTTGTTGTTGTTGTTGTTCTTATTATTATTGTTATTGTTATTGTTGTTATTATTGTTGTTGTTGTTCTTATTATTATTGTTGTTGTTGTTGTTCTTATTATTAATATTATTATTATTATTATTATTATTATTATTATTATTATTATTATTATTATTATTATTATTATTATTGTTCTTATTATTCTTATTATTATTATTATTTTTATTATTATTATTATTATTATTATTATTATTATTGTTATTATTATTGTTCTTCTTTTTATTATTATTATTATTATTATTATTATTATTATTATTCTTATTATTATTATTATTATTATTATTATTATTATTATTATTATTATTATTATTATTGTTGTTGTTGTTGTTGTTGCTGCCTCCTCCTCCTCCTCTTCTTAAACAATCAGTACAAAGCCGATTCGTAGGATTCAGGCAACCAGAAAAACAAACATACTCCAGATTACTTAATACTCAGACTATCAATGTCTATATGTTTATTTGTCCAACTAACTCATCAACAATCTGTTTATTATTGAAAATGAGTTCATTCCTAGCTTGCCAAATCATATAACAAGCTTTGGCAAAAGCAGTTTTAAGGAAAATTCTCTGCCATCCTTTTTTTCTAGTTTCTCTAATAATCCAACACTTCTCATTACTCCAATTCTGTGGGTTCTTTTTATAGCCAATCCATTGTAAGATATCCCCCCAAATCAAATTTGTTTTCCTACAATCAAAATAGAGATGATTTATTGTTTCATTAGCTGGACAGAAACAACAGTTTTTATCATTAAGAAGCCCAAATTTTGCAAGCCTATCTTTACTGGGAATTCTTACCATGAAGACAAGCCACGAGTGAAATTGAGCACAAGGTCGGGCGTTGCTATGGAAGAAAACAATCCTTCAATCAACCTGCATCTGGTCACCTCTAATTAATTGGTATTTCCCTCTGGTATGAAACTTTTCCTGCAGAAGATAGTTGTCCCAATTCTGATCAGTAATAACCAAGGCTCTACTCTTCATAATCTGTTTCAAAATCCAAGAATAATCTCCAGGTACATTCCATTGCATGATATCTCTTTCTTTTATGTAATATGCATCCAACCACTTTACCCACAACTTATCTTTCTTAGCTTGGAGGTTCCATAAAAGCTTAATCATAGAAGCTTGACACCACTCTTGGAGAGAAACAATATTAAGACCACCAGTATTTCTAGGATCACAAACTTTATCCCAAGCTACTGGAGCTTTCCTACTCCCTTCACTTTTCCCACTCCAAAGGAACATACTACAGATTGTCTCCACTTTGTGAATACATTTTTTAGGAAGAGGGAACACTTGAGTCCAATAAGCTGTTACAGAAAAAATAACAATTTTGACCAGTTGACACCTACTCGAGTAACTCAACAGATTTGTTGTCCAATGGTTGATTCTGGCCACAATTTTATCAATCAATGGTTGACATTAACTAATACTCAATTTTCTGCTTGACATGGGAACTCTCAGATATTTGAAAGGGAGAGAGCCTTCTTCAAATCCTGTAATAGTCAAGATCTGCTTTTTATCCCTCTTAGGAACACCCCCAAAATGAACATTGGATTTTTTAGGATTTGCTTGCAGCCCTGTAGAGTTAGAGAAATTTTTAAAAACTTTCATCACTTGTTGCATAGAATGCTCATCTCCTCTTGAAAATAACAACAAAGCATCAACAAAGCAAATATTTGTGATTTTCAATCTAGCGCATTTGGGGTGAAACTTGTAGGTAGGGCAGGTGTGCACTTTGCTCACACATCTGTGAAAATATTCCATAACCAGCACAAACAATAGGGGGGATATGGGATCTCCATGTCTAAGTCCCCTTCTAGCCTTTAAAACTTTACTGATGTGTCCATTTATAGAGTACTTATAGGAAACAATGTTGATACAAATAATTACCCAGTCAATAAAATCGCATGGAATATTCATCTCATGCATAATCTGCTCTAAATCCTTCCAATCCACAGTATCATAAGCCTTTTGCACATCCATTTGCACAATACATCTAGGAGATAAATGCTTTATGTTATAACCCTTTATCAGCTCATGTGCAATGAGGATGTTATCCTGAATATTTTTGCCAGGAATAAAGGCAGATTGACTATCATCCACTACTTCACCAATCACTTTGCTAATCCTTTTAGTAAGAATCTTGGAGATAATTTTATAGAAGGTTGAGTAGTAAGCTATGGGCCTGAGGTCTTTAACTGTCTTGACTTCTTTAGATTTAGGAATAAGAGTAACCAAGGAGAAATTTATATCAGCATACATTCTTTTCTGATTGAAAAACTCTTGCACAACATGAATCACATCCCTCTTAATAATCTGCCAGCTTTTTTTGAAAAATTTGGCACTATAGCCATCATCACCAGGGGCTTTGTGATCATCAATATTTTGCACAGTTTGCCAAATCTCCTATTTAGAAATTTATTTAATGAGGTTGGAAGCATTATCAATAGACAACTGCTTTCCTTTTCTTAAAACTTCTATATCGACATGAATCAAGTTATTGGCAACTTTTCTAACTAAATCCCCATAAAATTACATGATCTCTTTTTAAATATCTTCAGTCTCCTCCAAGTTGTTCCCCTTGCTATCTACTAATCCGTTCATAAATTTCTGCTTATTCTTCTCCCTAAGATTAGCATAGAAATATTTATTATTACCATCTCCCTGTTGCAGCTAATCAACTTTTGATTTCTGCATCAAGATCTGTTCTTCCAAGTCACTCTTGTGCATAATCTCCTCTGGTAACTCCTCCACTCTCTTAATAAGGCTTTGATTAAAAAGGTCTTTATTGAGTTTATTTTGAGTATCATCAAGATCAGATCTGCACTCTTGAATTCTCTTCATCTCTTCACTAATTTTTTTATTCAGGCTACTCAGGGCATGCTGCAACATTTTCAACTTTTGCCAAACTATGTATTGAGGTCTATCTTGTATGTGTTGACTCTAACTATTGGCTACTAACTCATCATACTTAGGGTCAGAAGTAATGCAGTTTAAGAACTTAAATCTGTAATTATTTCTTGTTGTACCCCAAAATTTGCCCTCCCATATTCCTCAAAATATGTCAAAGATAATCTCCAAATGGTTCAAGGTTGCTCAAGAGGTAGACAGTCAAACCATCTCCTGAGGC